ATTTTGGAAATTTCCGTGGACGACACCTGGTCCTAAAACGAATTAGTTAGAAAACAAATGACTATTAAGTTTAACATATTTTTACAGCTATGGTGAGAAACGTTTAAAATCTATAACAGCCCTGTCGCGTTCTTTGAGATATACTAGTTATGAGACGAAAGAGGTATTTGACATTGACCGGTATCGGCACCCTGGGGATTTGGCAGTCCGCGCGTATGCACGCTCCGCAACCCTCTTCGATTCCATCCATTAGCCACTCGTAGGGAGCTATTTGACTAAGTGCATTGTTTTAAGATTTAAAAAGTAAAGAATATTTTATACTTTTATGTACGTTTCTTTGCGAAGCTATATTTAATTATAATTTTCTTTAAAAGTATATTTATATAATTGAAGAATATTTTGTGTGTACTGTACAGTACCAGTGTGGCTATACGCCTGTTATTATTATTATTATTATTAGTCTGTATAGTTTTAGTTTAATTTAAATTCTAGAATTTTCTTCTTTCCGATTTCTGTGTTCCTTTGTCTCGAACTTCCGAGAACTTGCCTCACCCCTCACCCATCAGGGGGTAGTGTTAGAACAAAAGGAGAAAACGAGGATGGAGGGGAAAAGGAAGAGTTTCTAGAAGCATTCTTATACTACGTTCGCACACAATCCACGACTCACTTCGATCTCGATTTACCTACAATCTGGATTGTGACTGTCGCTAGTCGAACGTCGTGCTGTTCGCACAGGCAGTCTGCTCGAGAAGAACCCGGCTATTACACGCGATCATAAAACTGGCGTAACTACGCGGTAAGTCACAAACACCAACAAACAAAATGGAAGTTTTGGTTAGAAATAAATACTTTTTCTTACCATACATCTAATAATAGACAGATGTCGTCGTCTCTCCAGACATCTTTTTTATTTCTCTGTCGATAGCCCGACACATGTTCAGCAGCTATCTTGTATTTTCTCGCGCGCGTGGGATTGTGAGATCTCTCTTATGACTGGATCTAGTTACGAGAACTCTCTCCAGTCTATCGCGATTGAACCTCGTTTCAGTCGAGATGAAACGGTCGAGAGCGTTCGCACCACGGAACTGTCTCCGACCTTAGCCACAATCTAGATCGAAATGCTCGGTGCGAACGGGGTATTAGGCCGGGCTCGAAGAGAGACAGACGAGTGGCAGCAGGCTCTTGAACGGAAAGTCGAGGAGCGCTGCAGGAGGAGGCCGTAAGAAGCGGATCGGTAGAAGAATCCGGTCGACGATTAAAGAGAAAAAACCCCAAAACGGACCCGAGTTGTTCTAAGAGGAGAACAGATGAGAAAGAAAAGCCGAGACGTGGAACGGTGGAGAACCAACTGGAAGATTGGGTACCCTTCTGTTCTTTAATTCTTCTCATTTCCCCTTCTACTTTTTCTATTTTTAGTTTAAGTTAGGTTAAGGTTTACGCGTGTAAATAAATTGTCGGGAGGTAGTTATCGAGAAATTAACTACCGGTCTATTGATATACCTGGTCACTCAAGATTGTGGAACCGTTTCAAGGAGAATAGCGGAAATCCGAACCTATTCTGTATATATATTTCAAATTCAGCGCGAAATTAAACTCGTTTAATTGGTAAAACGTGTATGTGTTTACCTGTCCGCGTTGAACATTTCACACCAGTACATCCACCACATATTTTATTTCGCAAAGTAAGTTTTTATTATTTTATTTTTAATTGTAGCCCTTATACCGTGGCTAGCGATTCGGAATGTAATTGCGATATTAAAAATGCATTTAGAGAAGTCTACGGTTTTTACTGGCTTATCGACTAAACGATACGAATGGACCCTAGACTATCACTGACGCGCGATTGTCTGATTGCCCCTGGATGTCGGCTTCTTACAGAAACACAGCTTCCCTATCATCAAATGTCACGGCACGCCCCTGCCACATAGCTATTGAATGGGCGAAGCGTCACTGGACATATGTAATTGCCCTAGACATAGCAGGCCAAGCCGGGCTCCTGACAAATTGTCTGCCTTACAGGCCCCTGTAAAAACGTAAATGACTTACATTTCTTGTCAAATAAGTACATTCATATCATTGGATATTATATACCATTTACAACTGATTACAAATGTTTATATTAGGGTAGATAGACCTATGTCTAATCTGTAGACCTATCTGTAGATAGTATCCTGTAAATGGTATGTGATATCCAATGATATGAATGTATTTATTTGACAAGAAATGTAAGTCATTTATAATCGTTTGAACTTTATGAGAGAACTTTCAAATCATAGAAATGATGTCAAAAAAGCTTAAATGTATTAGTATTACAATCAATTGGTACTAACTTTATTTTTGTTTAAATACAAGTTTGATTACATTTTACTATAATCACTACTTTAATATAATCAAGTGACAACCAAATAGTATAAAACCAACATCCTTTGATAAACATTTATATTAGTTAATGACGGTAAAGTGTCTTACAAGTACATTTTGGTGGAGTAAAGTAAATGTATTAATACTCACGTTTCTGTGCAGCCAATATATCCTTCCAATATATTATCCATTAAAGGAAATAATTCCCATCGAGGCTTATATATATCTGCACTACCACTATCACTAACGGTGCTACATTTTATTAATTTTTTTCTCGCATATATCTGTTCCTTTGCACCTTCCATTTTTTCTCCGCCGCCTCTGCTATAATTTAGAAAATTTAAATTAATAGACTTGTATTCCGAATTCGAATAAAGAACGTGTGATGTAAATACTAGTCCTATACTGTATATCGATTCTATTAGGCCTCCCTGTTATTTGAAATTTAGCACCTATGGCCGTCCACACACTTTGTTTGTACACAGTGTTTTTATACGCGACAATTTTTTGTCATGACACTGATGGGGTCGAACATATTCGATGAACTCTTCTATTTCATTGATTTTTCGCTTTTTAGACACCGTATAATTATAGAGTTATTAATAACACCTAAATAGGGGCCAGTTTTACATAACTCTTCCCGAGATACATCCTTCTCGGCATATCACTCACGTGTCGCATTGCCGTAACGAAATAAACCAAAGCAATTCTAATAATTTTTCTATAAACGCGATATTTACGAGGACACGCTTAACTACCAGAAAACCTGGACATCCCACCCCATTTCCCGATTTCACCTTCTCACAGTAACAACACTGTCCCAAACTTCATTTACTCATATATTGCTTAAGAAATTCTAATGTTCAGTCAAATTAATTTACGTGCAACGATTATAAGTATGATACCTTCATTCAATATTTATGTATTATATGCATAATTATTTCTCTTTAGAAAGTTGTGATATCAGGAACGTTCGGACGTTGAAAAACGTAATCGTGACGTGAAGAATTATTTCATTAAATACAGTTTTGGTGCCATAAACATTGAGTGAAGATATCATACTTAGTTTCACTAAAATGTGTTTCGTGTACATCTGACTTGTGAGATAAAACGGTGATAATTTGAAAAAGATTGATCTAAGCATGCTTGACGGCAGTTTCTGTACCTGTAAGACTTACAGGTATGTTTTTTGAGGATAATAAGTAACTTGTTTATAAATGATCCAGTTACAATTGTTGAAAAGTTATAATTACGTCTTATAAACACAAACAATTTTACGCCAATACTCAAATAATATCACAGAGGATCTCCTCGAATATCTGACACTGTACTAATATTGATTATTGCTACTTACAGGTTCCGTACAGCTTTCTCCGTTAACGTATTTATCGTATACAGGAAATTGTATATTTTTGCGAGCTTACGTAACTGTTCAAAACTTTGTAGATCTGACGTTACGTTTGTGTCGAGCAATGTATTGAAAAATACGATTTCGAATTGTCTCGTGTGTTTTTTTACTTTCATAATTATGCTAAGTTATCATGTCTTATTGTTTTCAAACTCCAGACTCAACTTCGAGTAAATTAGCAGGTTCAGTAGCACTTGAAATAGATTGCTCGAATGTATTTTCTTTGTACGCGACTAAAAACTGAATACAACTGTTTATTGCTTCTATATCCTCACATATGTGGATGTGCTGTTTTGCAGAGAGTTGCTTATAGCATTAATATGAAAGAGAATTTCAAATCAAATAACTACAAAAACTCTCATTTGACAAGCTGAAGAAGTAGGCTCGTGCGAAATTTCGGAAACATGCTGAAACAGCAGTGCCTCACAAATGCATCCAATCATATACTTAACGGATTCTCTACACTCAAAACTATTACCTCTCAATCTGTCACTGAATTCTTTAACTGAAAAAGACTTTACGTCAGCAGTTTAAATTTTCTAATGATTAAAAACAAGCAGGGAAAAAATGTATAATCTTCCTACGATTCTAAGAGATAGATTTACAGATAATTCAACGGCTTCGTACAAAACCAAATTCAAAATACGTAAGAAGCCAAAGGAATATTGTTTCAAAATTCTTTACTGACATCATTATTTTACTTTTACTTATCCTCACCCGTGGATACAAAGCTATAATAAATAAAGACTAACAAATACAGTAATGACAAGTAATGAAGAAACGCAACGCCACGCGACACGCCGAAGAAAAATATTAAATCGAGATTCGTAGCCAAGTTTTTGACGAACAAATAATAGCAAAACCAGTATGATATAGAAAAATAGTAATGTTAAACAGCGCTAACCCTTCGATATATTTATATTAGGTTTCTCATATTGAAATAAGCAATTAACTGATTATCGCGCGCGTGACGCGCGTCGGACGCGCCGCGCAACAATACTTATGTATTGTTGCCTTAACAATAACTGCTTCTAGTTTTGGCCATTGTCGAAGCGAGTTAAGCTTTTTGTCGGAGTTTATTCGATGCGCTTTTATTTCATGCGAAATATATATTTTTAATATGAATACGATTAGTAAGTTTACCTTATCTTATTATATATACTGTAATTACAATTATATTCATTAGAAGACCGCAGATAGCTAATATAAATAAAAGTATCCCATACACCGCAATTATTAATATAACTTTTAGAAAATAAATGAAAACATTCTCTTGTAAACTATGATGAATATCCTTAATGCATTTTCTCATTTCAATGAGATGATTGAAAGGAGAAAATTACCGACTGCCATTAATTACATTTAATAATTATAAAACTACTGTTTACAGATATTGGATGCTTTTGTATCGAAACTATTTTCCGATACGAAGATGGTTTCTACGTAACTTACGATTATCAGGTAAGTGAAAAGAGAAATTTTAAAATACTATAAATAAACATAATAACGAATGCAAAAATACTTAGAGGGTGGGCAGAAAATTCTATGATTAAGCGACTACAATGTCATGTCAATAGGAATTCTTAATTAATCCTAAGTTAATCACGTAAGAATTCATGGGACAAAAGACAAAGGATAAACAATTTTTAAGTTAGACAAAGTATTTGCCAGATACAGAAGCTTAAAATAAATTAAAACTTATTATTTTGTAAAAAATAGTGTTTTAATATCAAGATTACAGTGTTTCTTGTCTCTTATTTTACTGAGTGACTGATTAATATTTATAAGAATTTTAAAAATTGGTGTTTTCATGACCGAGATTTAAAACTAAAAGCTTCTTATTTATAGTAATTAAATTAAACGCTAAATATAAACTTGTGTAACAAAATATAAACGTTCCCGAAGAAAAAAATTTGTCATCAAAAATTCTTTTCGTTTAAAGTCAAACTGCTTATAAAGTAATATAATATTTGAAATGTTATAGAGCAAATTTTCAAATTATTATATTATTAGTTTTTTTTTATTCTTTTGTACAGCAAAAAATTATAATTCAATTCATTGAAAATAAATTATACAAGTGACGTTAGATTGCTTCCATTAGCAATTAAAAATAAGTTCGGTATTTGATATTTTTTATAACTAATTAATTCTGTATTTAATTCCTTAGTATGTCCTGCCAGAAGGATATGCATTATATTTTGAACATTTTCCACATCAGCAAGCCCCTACAATGCTTGCTTATCGACTTCCGAGTGAAGATGGTGTTGTGGATTACAGCTTGCAGGCATTTCAGCATCAGCCGCAAGCAGAAACGGACGAAAGTGTCCCTCTCGAAGAATTTCCTGCATTTCGGATGCAAACACACCAATCGGAATATTCTTCTGTAGCAGAAACGTTGCTACATCCGGGGCAACCAAATGTATTGCAAAATAACCCGGAACCGGAACAAAACACACAGAAAGAAGTAACAGATACGGAAGCTGACGTGCTTTTTTCATTTGAAACTTGTGAAGTTGTATCAGATCCAAACTTTAATGGTAAATTCCTTTAAACGTAATATAATAACATACTAAATAATAATAATAACATAATAACATAATAATAATAACATAATAACATAATAATAATAACATACTAAATATATAATACAAAAACTTATATGTCAATGATCATGCACCAGTATTTCAAATAACAGTTCGCAGGGTTAATGATAAGAAAGCCGAGGCTGCATCTCTAAAGCTAAGGCAGCCGAGCTGATTTATTTATATAACACCAAGCACATAAATATAGATAAAACGTAAAAGTAATACACCGTAGCCACAAATAAAAAAAAAAAACACAAGTATAGAAAAATGGTAAAAACAGGCAGAGCCGTGCCGGGCCGGTGTTCGCAGTTCTGACCATTTACATTGGTACGTTCATTCGTGAAATATAATACAGTTAAACCTCGATTTAACGTACTAATTCGGACCGAGAGTGTGCGATGAAGCCGGAAATTTCTTAAGTAATAAGATTTTCCTAATGCACGTGTTAAAATGTTGACAAATTACTTTAAAATTATAAAAATGTTCACATATCTACATGAACAAGGATGAAAAGTAAAGGTTTTACCCTTGTGGCTCGGTCTTGTACAGCAGCCGAAACAAAATATACGTGATGAAATTTTAAATACAAAACTTAGACGATCATCTTAATATAGTTTGAAGTGTATAAAGAAAGATTAAAATTTAATGTGATAAAGAGAGAGACTAAACGAGAAGACAGAACAAAGCAATGGGTAATCGCTGATATGCGAACTGACATTACTGACATTGCATTTAGAACTTTGAGTTTGTTAATAAAAGAACCTTGAAAATTCATGTTCAATATTAAATAAATCGAAGTAATACTTATTCATCGGAATGTCTTATACAGAGAATATTAAATCTTGCATTTGTTTTTGTTTTAAGTCATTCACTGACAATTTTTATTGTGAGTTATGGAGTACAAAAACAATTTACTGTTTAAAAGCAAAATAATTATTAAACTAAAACTTTAAATTCAATATAAATAGCATCTTTGTATAGATTATTTTCTTTAAATTCTATCAATATTCAAGCGTTTTTATTATGCATTAGTAAAGTGCAAACATTTTACGTCAACATACAATAAACATTCTGTAATATTATAGCTTAACTTGACTTTGTGTGTGATAATTTGCACTTGATACACATTAATTAACATAAAATTATTTATGCTTTTATAGCTTGATGAAATTTCAACAAATTTTTAAACATAACCCAATTAAGTTTTGTTAATTGTTATTAACAAAGTAAATTTATTGTAATTCTGAGCTTTTCATATAAAATAAATTCAAATGTAAAATTATAAAATATAACTTAAATATTTTTAAGTCTTCAAAAATATCTTTTGTCAGTTCGCATTTGATCTGTTTATTTCGTGTAATCTATTTGTAGCTTTACTCTCAAATTCATATATAACACTTGAATTCATCTGTTTACTAATGACTGTGTTTTGGGGTTTTCTTTTGTACTTTAGTTTCTGATCCTGAAACTTCTGTTGGTGACACAAACCAACCGTCCCCAATTAATCTCGATGGCATCAGCGCTGAAGATTCAGCGAAAAGAACTAAAGAAGAAATGATCTCTAATATTACAGAGACTGACAATGACGACTCAGATGATATGGAATTATTTTCACTCGTAAGTTTAAATTTAATTAAATTGTTTCAAACTAATTTGTTAATCCTTATATCACTTAAAAGCTGATTATTGGTAATGCACAANACTTAAATATTTTTAAGTCTTCAAAATATCTTTTGTCAGTTCGCATTTAATCTGTTTATTTCGTGTAATTTATTTGTAGCTTTACTCTCAAATTCATATATAACACTTGAATTCATCTGTTTACTAATGACTGTGTTTTGGGGTTTTCTTTTATACTTTAGTTTCTGATCCTGAAACTGCTGTTGGTGACACAAACCAACCGTCCCCAATTAATCTCGATGGTATCAGCGCTGAAGATTCAGCGAAAAAAACTAAACAAGAAATTATCTCTAATATTACAGAGACTGACAATGATGACTCAGATGATATGGAATAATTTTCACTCGTAAGTTTAAATTTAATTAAATTGTTTCAAACTAATTTGTTAATCCTTATATCAAAAGCTGATTATTGGTAATGCACAACCAGATGAAAATGTTCTATTTAAATTGACTCTACATTTTTTTATTATTATATAAATTTAGCCTTGCTTAATAAAGAAAAAACAATTAAATTATTATCGTTGGTGATGGTAATCGGGTTCATTTTCTATTGCCTCTGTTTTCAAATGAACCTGTAATAAAATCTTCATTGGCATTATGTTAATTTATGATAAAACTATTAAACATAAATTTAACTTTATTGTTTAAGTTAACGTAATTTTCAAGAAATATTTCAAAATCTTATTTCTCATAATTCTGTTCACCAGGAAGATGCTTATGTTCCATTGACTCCAAGACAAATTTTGGTATTGGAAAACGAAGATCACAGGACACTAAAACAGGAACTGATGAGTTTAGATGTTCTCTGTCATGCTCTTGGTATTATCTACGAAGAGGAAGAACATGAATCATCAGATGACGAGAACTTCGATCACACAAAGAGTATATCAGAGCAAAATATCTGTTCTTCTCATCAGTTAAATGACGTTAATCAATTGGAACAGCAAAGCTTTGAATCTACTCTGTTAACATCCTCGATGACAATCGACATTGAAGGTGATAATTGTATTGGAATTAAGTGTGATCCATGTGTTATTTCACGGATGACAAAACAATCAAGAGAGATGACAGAATTCGTTGAAGGTAAGGTTACAAATAGCAGATTGCAAAGAATTATTAAATTTTCAAAACAATTTATTGAAAAATTATTAACGAAATACAATCGAATTTAGATATTTTTCACTCTGGTGTACTATTAGTAAATTGTAAAGTTTAGCATTAATTTTCCATGCATAGTTTTTTTAGTCGTTTGATGTTTATTATTCTGATAAAAATCCAAAATAAAGAATAAATTTCCGAATATTCTTTTATTTATGGAAATGTTTCATTTATTCAATGAAAAATCTTCAAAACATTCACGTATCTGGACAGAAGCAAACGACAAGTCACTGTGATAACTTCTGGTTTTGAACATTACTTATTTAGTGTTAAATAATTAAAATTTCTTTGCAAATGAACATTCAGCATGCACCATGGTAAATCGTTATTCTTATTCACGCATTTTTAGTAATATTACGGGATCGTTTTTTGGCATAACGTCTTTCGAGTGTTCTCGTCCAGTGGGAAAAGGCACGGCGCCGTTCAACTACCGAAAAGGGTTTTTCATTTTAAAAATGTTTATTTACAGTGCATATTTGACATCGACTAAAGGGAAAATTATTTGATTTTGTATACAGAATAGTCCACTTTTAACCATGGTTTGAATTCAATTGCATTAATACTCCGTTACATTAATACTTTGAGCATTATATGCCCGACGTTAGTAATACACTGCCGAATTGCCTGCACAAAAATACAATTCCTGAAATATATCAGGAAATACTCTGTGAATTATAGTTTTGATTTTTTAAATTCGATCAGTGTTGGATGTTATAATTACTTGCTACTTAAACATCTGTACTGCTCTGTGACATTCTTTATACGTTTTAGATTTTATATAATTGCATTAAATCATAATTGCAATGTAGTTTTTAATTTTTAACTCATCGTAGTTTTTAATTTTTATTCTCTAATTACTGTTTGAAATACACCAATTATTTGTTATTGTATTAATTTTTGAGAGGAAATGTAATTGAATATTTATAAAATTATTTATTAATAAAAATTATAAAATTATTATTTTTAGAAAATAACAAGAAAACTGACATTTCACAAAAGTTAATAGAATTGACTGAATCCACAGATAGGAAAAACGACGATTACGAAGGTTTATCTGGAGATGAATTCACCCCTGAATATGGGAAAAAAGTTAGAAAATATTTTATATTTCTTTATTAGTTTAGATTTATAATATAATTGATATCCCGTACTAAACTTTCACTCACAATCATATTCTGACTTTCTATACCATGGACGAAATAATGTTTTAAGTTAGCAAAATAAATTTTCAATTTTAATGTCCAATTTGAATGAAACATTAATAATATANAATCATTTTAAAGTTCGACAAAAATATTAATTTAATACTTACTAAATTTATATCATTTAATATTTGTCATCATATTTGATATAGCTTTATGGCCAACAATATTAACCCTTTGTTCCCAGCAAGGGCGTGGTCAGAGTAGTTTAACTTAGCTGGTTTTGTTAAAATCATCAAGGTCAATACACTAGTATTATTTTAAAAATTCATATAAAATCAAATTTTTATAATATAAGTATGAAAAAAATACTACTACTATGCAAGTATTAGTAGTTTTGTTTGGTATATTTTTCATCTGCTTGTATTCTGTACTTATTTCAAAAAAAAAATTGTTAATCTTGCTTACATGAAACACTTGTAAATTTACTGCAATTTGATATAACATAATAACCTATAAACACTTATAATTTATCTTTAGCTGTATGGTATTTAGATGGAGAATTTTGTTCTCTACATTTTCATGTATAATATGTTTGTGTACTTATATATCTTCGCGAATTATAACACATTTTATGAAACAATACCCTGACCTGTAAAACCTGATGACGTAAAATTTTGATCATATTACTGATGACGTAATTTGTCAAATATGAAATTTTTATATGAGAGATATGACTATTAGTTCTTCTAAGTATCATATTATTTAATATTTTTAACTTTTGAAACGTCAGAAGTGGTTGGTTCGTTAGAGTTTATTAGCGCAAGGGCCATACAGGCCAAGCTGCGCCATGGCAAATGGTATATATANGAACATTAAGGTTTTGGACGTTAAGGTTGGCAACTTCCACCACATGCGTGGCCATTGCAACCAGAGGCAGATCTAGGTTTTTCTGGGCCTAGGGCTTATTGAAGTCCAATGGGCCCCGTTTTTTTAACACAAATAATACTATAAGTTATCATTATTATTATAGTCTATCATTAATATTAACTATTTTTTACTATACGGCAAGTGCTCATTGTTAAAATTGTTTTAATATTTTTTCATTGTGATTTATGAAAAGGTATTTATGATAATAATTCAATTTTTGTGGGCCCTTGACACTTGGGGTCCCAGGGCTTAAACCCTCTTAGTCCCTATGTAGATCGGCCCTTGGGTGCAGGGATCGCTTCTTTCCTTCCGGCTCCACTTCAATTCTATCGCGATACGCCAAATCGCGCGATGTCCTAGTTTGATATAAGTAAAACGAAAATATAAATTATTTAAGTTTGTGTTTTAATTTTTAATAACCGAAACTGCATTTCTAATATATTTACATCATTTTTAAAATTGTTATGATAATTCTGAAATTAATAAATATTGTTTAAGATTTCCTTTTTAAATTTTTTCTGGGTAATAACATATTATCCTTTAACCAAAAGAAACTTTCCAAAAATTACAGAAACACAGCTTCCCTATCATTAAATGTCACGGCACGCCCCTGCGATCCAGATATCCTATATTCATTTCTAACGCCTTTAAATATATGTGTAAGAAATATATCATGCAATGCCTTGTCAAAACCTATATTATTACTGTGAGAACCGATGAGGTTATTTGTCCCCACTTACCGGCGGCTCTGTCAGAGGATGGCTTTATAGGAGGGCAAAATAAAATGAGTGGGGAGATCAATGAGTAAGTTGACAGGTTCCCAAATAAATACACAGGTTGAACAAGAATAACATTTAATATACAACTATAAAATCGTACATATCAAAGGTGAAAGTGAAGAGTTACAAAAATTGTATTCTACGTCGCGATAATGATTCGTCCTTCATATGGAACATCTAATCTATATTCTCTAAGTTAAGAGATGAGAGAGAGATCTCTAGGAGAGAGATCTCTAGGAGAGAGATTTCTCGGAGAGAGAGTATACAAATAGATATCCAAAAAAAAAAAAGATACCTCTAAGTTTCCGATCCGTAATATGGGTCGTTGGTAAAAATGTTCCTGGATCGTCACGGCAGTTATGGCGGTATTGGTCAGTAGATGTGGCAGTCGATGTCCGCTCTGTGGACTGCGTCCAAGCCTTCTTTATACTATTTTTGAGGGGGTGAAAACTATGGCATCATTAACGATTTATACGCACACCTGTTCGTGTCTAGATCTAGCTAGCACGGACAACTGACACAGAGAAGTTTGTTTAATTTATTACTATTGGTGTCTAGAAGATATGATTCTATAATATAAATTTCTATATGTTTGACGGCTCCCATCCATAAATTAACATTCATTTGACAATAATTTCTTTAACCTGGTAAACTATCTAGATATTGTTTATATAAAACGTCGCGTTTGACTACGAACGAGGCGATTTATTGCTGTAACCACGTGTCACGCGCAACCAAAGAGGGGATAAAAAAAACATCTCTTATTCCCGTCTTGTTGATATTAACGTCTATAGCAGTGTTTTTCAACCTTTTTGAATACGCGACCCCTTTACAAGTTAAAAAATTTTGGCGACCCCCCTAGGGCCATATTAAAACTATATTAGTGATTTTAAAAATTATGTATTTAATTTTCTTTCTGTTGAGAGAAATTATTGTTGATTAAAATGAGAATATAAGAAGAATCGACAATAACTTAAGACACGTATAGTATGAAACTTCCTTTTCATTATAACATTGGGCTCTGGGTGCTGTTGACCTTTTTTTTAGGATGAGAGTTCTGAACTTCAACTTTTCTACTTATTACTTCTTTTTACAAGTCAGCTCAACACTTTTTCGGCTATCATTTTCTGAGGTGGGCGTACCCACCCAGGCCCTTCCCTGTCGACACCCATCGTTCAGACCTAAATGCCGATCAAAAAACCAATTGTACTGTATAATAAGCAGGTACAGCCTTCTCGCTAAAATTGTAGTTTTTTTAATGTAGTGCAGGACCTACAAACACTTGTCTTTTTCTTTTACCCGAGACCCCCGTATAAGGCTTCGCGACCCTCAAGGGGGTCGCGACCCACAGGTTGAAAAACACTGGTCTATAGAATTACCTTTAAACAAATGGAGATTTCTTTTATTGATATACTAACGATTTTTTTCGAGGAGATCGTCTCGGTCATTGACCGCAGAAGTCCCCTTTTTTCCTTTTTTATCTAATCACGAAGTTTATTAGAAAGGTGATATTGTTGTAAAACAAAAGGGTTTTGGACCATTACACTACTTTAGAATTTAAACATTTCTAAATATAGTCCTTAAAAATTATTAATAACAATACTCAATAATTTTTTTACAAGATACTTTTAATATAATTTATTATTGAGAAAAATCCTACACTGAATTTAAATAAACCAAAAAATTTCCGATGGTATATATTAATTTTTAAAAATTAAAGGTAATTTCTTGAACAAATATTCAAATTATAAATTTATATTTCTATTGAACATAAATGGTTTTAATCGAGTGATCATTTTTAATTATTAGGAGATAGAGAAAAGAGTGAGGGAATATGAAAGAAGATAAAAGTAGATACGATCCCAGCATGTACTGAATAGATAGATGCTGAGCAAATAAAGTGCTGAAGAGACTTACTGACTTAGAAAGTTTGAAAGAAATAATCATCAAATTTAATAAGCAAAATTTCTTATATAATCCACGTACTGTACATAAATTTAAATGATTTTTGTATTAAAATTATAAGCTTCGTATATCAAAAGATCATAATTTGTTTTTATAAATTATGCTTACTAATAAATTATAATTACTTTTAAATTCATTTTCAAAAATGTTAATTTTATAAAGATATTTTTTATTTTGAGTTTGAAAAAAGTCTTTAATTTTAGATAAAGTTCTTTTAAATGTAAAAATAATACGTATTCAGCATTAAATATTCATGTTTTTAATTTGAGATTTCCACTAATAGGTCATATTTCTTATATTTTTTTGTTTAATTAGAAATGTGCTCGAATATAATTAGATATTTAATGATTAAGGATTAAATTACTTATTTGTTCATGAAAATTAAGAAATACGATCGTCTTTATAACTTAAAAATATTTATTTTTATTATTTAAAAGTCTATACAGTAAAATAAATATTATTTTCTTATATTCATTACCTAGAAACAAATACAATTGTCTAGTTTTGTCTAAATTACTTTCTTCGTCTGAGTGTCTGTTCGTTTTTTTTTTCGATTTTATTAATTTATTAAGTATAAAAAACTATAACATTGATTTTGAATTTTTGTTTATTTTTGTATAATAATCAGATACGTTTATACATTTTTAAATTTATAAAATAATTTAATAATATAAAGACATTTTTTGTTAATTAAAATCAGTACGAGTTAAATTTTGATACGAAAAGGTCAAATGTTGCTGTGTCAACTGGTTAATCTCTGTTTACAAAGACTTAGAATCTTGTTGAATGAGCAAGCTTCCTCCTCATCAGCTACAAATGGCAGCTCGTTATTGACTCACTATTTATACCAGTTTTTCCTTCTTTTTTAACTGTTCTTCTTACAGTTGTAAAGTTGAAAATGTTAAATTTAATTTTCAGACATTAGACATGTTCTCTATTCTACTTAAAAGCGCTAAGATCATTCAATCAAAGTTTTATGAGAAAATATACGCTAGAAAAGTTAATTAGTTAGTTGACACTTTTGTCTTCTGTGTTATCGTGACAGGTAAACAGAAAATGAGATTTGGCATCACGTGGTTTTGCTGAACTTTGACCGGTCAGTAAGTTTAAATAAGAAACTTCGTGTTAGGGGGAAAAATAAGAAAAGAAAGAGGTCTTCTGATTCAGAATGAAGAAATTTTGAAACTAAAGTCGATCTTTAGGTATAGATTACATTTATTTTATATCCTTGTATGAGAACATCGAGCTCGATAGGGATTAAAGAAAAATGGTATAACTTATGTATAAGTATATAAAATAAATTTTTAAAGTTTTCTATTAAGATTTTTTAAAATTTATCTGGAAATAAATTTTCTATTAGAAGACAAACATGAATTGTTATCTAATATAATATCATAAAAATGAAATCTTGTATTGTGAGTATTGTTAAATTTTCATAGTTTATTTTGCTAACAAATTCAATTTATAACTTGATCTATAAAAAAACAAATGGCAACATTAATAAATATTTCGTTTCGTTCCAAAATATTACAAAATTAAAATGTAAGATTAAACCTTTTAATTTACTTCCAATGCATTTCTTTTTGTTCTAAAAAACTTATACCCGACTTTAGCAATAAACTCTTTAGCTCGGAATTTTATGAGAACAATATTAAACAAGGTGACCACAAACTCATATCTGCTCTGTGAAATAACGAGTAAGTAAACAATACTCTGGAAAAAGATTATTTGCAATTATAGTGTATAACGTGCAGTTCGGCACATATTGGTGCGTACGAGTATTCTTGTACAGTACATCCTTGCCCGTAGATTTAGTATTACAGTTTACGTAACATTGCTGGTAACACGTACGAAAGTATGCCTAGAAACTTCTTTCAAATCTTCAAACATATCATAACGGTTATGTGCAGCATTTTCTTTTATGAATCGGTACAGACTATGAGATCATTCTTCGCCTTTAAGCACCAAAAAACAAGCAATAATACGTTTTTCAATAGTGCAATCACTCGTATCAGTCACTGGGTATGCTGCAGTGCTGCAACAAACAAACGTGTAAGTTCCATTAATTATATATAGGAATGATAAAACTTCACGAACATTCTGTAGAATGGGATGTTATAACTAATAAATTATGGATACAATTTCTGTAATTACTCAGGATTTTTATATTTCTTCTTAAATGAAGTTAAGACTATTTACAAAATTTTATATTTTTGTAAATAGTCTTAACTTCATTTAAGAAGAAATATAAAAATCCTGAGTAATTACAGAAATTGTATCCATATGCAAATTAAGTAAGGATAACTCGTAACTACCACCAGAGGGCCTGAAGCAGTTAAAAATGGATAAGGACAATGTGGTGAGAAGAATTCTTCATGTTTTTAATGTAAAGTGTCAGATCCTAAAACAGAAGGCTGACACTTGATCGTTTTTAACATTGTGAATTGTTTTTTACTGTTTATTTACCTTTGTTTTTAAGAAGTATATTCTTCAAAAAGAAAAAACCCATGTTGACTGTTACTTCTGGGGTGGTGTAAAAAAGGATTAAGATAGACTCAAAAATTTTATATTTTTGTAAATAGTCTTAACTTCATTTAAGAAGTAATAAATTATGATTTCATATACAGGAGAATTTAATTTCTATTTTATTAAATATGTGTAAAAAGTATTTTTTTACTAGAATCTATCTTTACTGTAAAATAGATTCTATAAAATTACTGTGTCTAAAACCTAAATAAGGTCTAGTTTCTCATTAAAAAGACCTCCAGGAAAGCATCCCTTCTTCACAGATCGCATTACCTTATTCGACAATCTATCCATCAAGTTCAATCCATTTTCTTATAAAATTTTACAAAATTTTTATTTGTTTTTATTATAATCATTATTAATTCTTTATATTATAAAATATATGCGTATTTAATAATATAATTTAAATTTATTAATTAACGAACGAAATATTAATAATGCAAAATGAACGTTTTTGATATTTTTCTGTTCGCTGAAGTATTCATTGGATAAGTCTAAATGTTTGAGAAATTTTGTTGGAAAGAGAGGAAATCCATTTTGTATAAGAGCGAGGAATGTTTCTTCAGTTATTTGGGGAAGGAACGTGATCACAAGAGCCGATTCGATTAGCGAATACTCCTCTACATCCGCCAATAGTCGTTAGCGACGTAAGACAAAGATACTCGGGAAACAATAATAGACAGGCGCTATTTCTTCTCTTCTGTTTGCATCTTCTAATGCAATTTCATTCTTAAATTAATACAATAAAAATACCTTTCCTCTTGCTCCTTTCGTCTTTTATGGAAAGATAAAAGGAATTCTGTTTTCTATGTAAAGTAGGTCTATATATATGGAATATTATATTATTTTACTCCAGAATTTCCATTCTTAGATAAATTAAGTATTTGCAACGAGTAAAATGGTAATTTTATTTCTTCCTTTATGGAATTTCTACAGAATTTTTTAAAATATAAAATTATTAAATGTTTAAATAATATTCTAAATGATATGTTTACTATTTTACAAATTATTCAAGTGTTTGTTAAAATAATTATCATAATTAGTAATTTTAAATATAATTTAGATATTTTAAATTTTATAATAAGTTGAAATATAAAAGTTTATTGTTACACAAAAACTATACTTTTACATGTTAAAATAGTAAAGTTTTGCATTTTTATACGATTATAAAATATAGAAAACCTGTCTAAACCGGTCCTCTATAATACGAAAACCTTCGTAAACGGAAAATATATCTCGAAATGAAACTATTCTTCTATAAGTCGGAAACCTGCCTAATGCGAAAATGGAAGATTTTTTTGAACCCCTATTATAGAACATAACCTGCCTAAAGCGGACTCGGATAGTAACTAAGTTCTAAATCATAATTAAGGCACAATTTAAGGGTTTTTACACAGATCTTTCAACACATCTCTCTGCGGTAAATAAATACTATCCTCTATAAAACAGAAATCTAGAAAACAAAATTCTAGACAGGTTTATCTAGAAGAAACAAAATGAAATCGAATAACTAGTCGAGTGTTTTCTTATAAAGATTTTTTCCAATTTATAAAATGAAAACTTTACTAACAAGTCAAAACTACAAGTCACGTTTTTGCAATTGAATAAACATGTTTATTTGTTTTTAGATAATTATTTTCGTATGTTTTTCACACATAATACGCTTTATTATATTAAAAAACCCAAACAAAATTTATTTGAATTTAATTAATTATTTACTTCCTCTATTATAATTTTATTACTATAAAATGATTTTTATGTTAATTCAATAAGCAGATTTTTTTACTTATTAATGTTCAAATATTTAACAAATAAACTCTGCTTGAAAATAATTTTGTGAATAATCTAAATGAATTTTTTTATTCATTAGTTTTGTTCAGTGGTTTTATTCACTCAATCACTGATGATCTCACACAATGAGATGAGGGACAGGGAACAATATATCACGAACAAACCACCTTCAGAAAATTTTTTCGAACTTTTCGGATTCGATCCCCAGGTCCGATCCTAGAGCGGTAAGCTGAACCCTTTGCTATTCTATCGGTACTCTGAAAGGGTTTTATGTTTATTCAATAAATAGATGAATTGGGTTGATGGGATAAGGAGTTAATGGGATAAGAAGTTAATGGGTAATCAACCAAAGGATGTTACGGGAGACCTTTCTAAGGAAAATTGGTCCTATTTAGGTGTTACATACGTAAAGAAAGCCCAGAATACTACACATGACCAGCCTGTTGATTAGGTGAGAACCCATGAGTGGTTTTCAATAGTTAAACCAATCGTACTTCAATAATATTTAAACCAATGGTAGTTCAGTGAATAAAACCAATGAACTATCAGTGTTCAATGGTTTTATCCACTTAGTCACTGGTATTGTCGAATTCTAAAGGGAAAATAAAATATGTTTTCTATCTCATATTAACAGTGTCTTGCCCCTGTATATCATACTTTACCCGATAACAACAGAGTCATATCTATCATCTATATAAGTCCATTGAGGGGAAAATTTTTGAACTAAAATTCACTCGGAGTATTTTCCATATTTTCATTTATCTACCAAAACACGACTAAAATAAACGTTTCTGATGTTGTCGTGAGTTTTTTATTATTATTAAAGCATCAATTTTGGACTTATTAATTACGTATAGAAATTTTAATGTGTTTGATATGATAATTGATTCAAATTGTAATTTATATTTTTAGAATACTTTCACCTTTAATTATAAACAAAACTTTGAATTATTCCGAATGTTTCAACAATTATTTATAATTATTTAACAATTTATGTTATTAGCTGTAATTTTCAAATTGCAGACCTATATATTCCCACTTTCGTCCGTCTGTTTGTCCTTCGTTAATCTCGAGAACGGAGAAAGAAAGATGAAAATCGAAACCAGATGTGGAAAAGTAGAAGCCAAAGGCAGAGATTAACTATATATTAACTTCCTGTTTGGAGCGGGAGTCACGTAATTTTTTACATTAAAAGAAGATTAAAAATTTCAGCCCGGCATCGTGACGATGTCACAATAAATATTTGCTCTTGTGTTTATATAATGCCTCAGATTGTGTTTACGAAATACAATTATATTAACTGTAGCTATGACATAGGCACTAAACAATCATATAAATTATAATTATTTATATGGTTTTTGTGCCTAGTTCTATTAATAACATATTATATATTCTTAATAGAAATATAATCGTTAAAATACTTTTCAAACTAAATTAAGAGCAATAATTATAAAACAATGATATCAAATGTATTGCTGTAAATAATTTGATTCCATTTTAATTAATTGTGTGTAGATGTACTTGATGGCGCTTATTAAAGTCATTTTATCTTCTGTATAATAACTGATTTATATTATTTACAATGTTTCAGACAAGTCATAATTGGAATCGTTCTTCCATTCTTTCCACACAATTTATTTGTAATAGAAACTTTCCTCTCATTTTTCATTATTTTTCTATTAAAACCACATATTTATTATGAAAATTAAATCTCATGCCAAAAATAAGTTTAATTATTCTTTAATATTCTGCATAAATTTAATAAATTAGAAGTTTATTTATTATAATTCAAATATTTTGATTAAAAAAATAATAAGCGAAAAATAAGACAAAATAGCTTTATTTTCACTTGGATAATACGTGGATAATATATGAACAAAATTGAAATATTTAAAGGTTAGGAGCACAAAGAATTAAGTTTATAATATTTTTTATATTTTAATACTGTCTTCTATAACACAAAAGTATTAATCATATGATAAAGGTATTTTAGGTGTTAAAATCTGGATTGATAACGCAACACGTGGGTCGATCTTCTTAGAGGATACTCCTCCCGCCAGGACTTTCTATGGGAATCCAGGTCTATTTAGGTATTTGACAGGCAAAGAAAATTCTGTAAACTCTATTGGTCAGGTGCGAACCCACGACTAACTGCCAATGTTTTATTCACTCGACCACTGATAGGCGCTAGAAAACTGTGTAATTTCGAACAAGATATCCTTGATAAGCTAGTTTTATGCACACATTTTGAATTATTCGCAATATTTTTTACAAAATTGTAATTATAATTACAATAGTAAAATTATTACGAAAATGGATAATACCTAACTGTTAAAGGAAGAAATGAAAAACGTACAGTACATTCTATCCTTAATGGAGAAGCTGAAACAACGATCTTTTGTTTATTATTCATATAGTCTTCTGTTTTTCTGTATAAAGTGTAAATAGTTATAGAATTAGGTTTATTTAAAATAAATTAATTTTGAATATTTTAAAAATATTTAGGAATAAAAAATAAATTACAAATTATTTACAAATAACAGTTTCTTTTCGTGTAATTCATGTGCTCATGAGAAAACTATTTACTTTACACCGTTAATTAAGCAGCTTAAAATTTAAAAATATCATCAAAAACATCCTTTAGTTGCTCAAATTTATTATTTTTATTTAATAATAAAAACATTTATCACTTTTTAAAACTTAAATACGTTTATTGAGAAAATACAAAAAAACTTCATTAAAAGTAACCTAATAAGAATTAATAAGAAAAATATCATAAAAATATATTTATTTTTATCAAGTGTTTGTTCCAAAATTCGAAATAAACCTGAATAAGAATCTGAAAGCATTCGATAAAACTACGTTATTCATTTTCTTCGTTAATATTGGCGTTTCTATAATTTACACGACGTTATCAAAGGAAACATCCAAAAGCGTGGGTTCGATTGTTCTGTGGGATTCGAACCCCGGCTTTTTCTTTAATGGATATCGGTGACTTGTTGTTTTAAATGGACTTAGTTCCTTGACAAATCGTCCTTTGGTTTTATAAAATAAGGCAACGCGATTCCATAAAACCAATGGGTGATTTGTTAAGGAAGTAACTTTCGGGTGGACTTTCTACGGGAAATTGACTCCTTAAGTAGAGAATTTCACGTATCTGATATATCTGATACCATTTACGTGTTAGACATGTGAAAAAAAATACCGATGAAAATCCATGTTGCCAGCACATTGATCAGTCTAACCCACGACTGACTTCAGTGGTTTTAATCACTCGGGCACTGGTGTGCTGGTTTTGGTTTTATTCAATTAAGGTAATGAGACACACGGGAGAACTGCCGAGGTGGAACGCCTCACGTGATATCGTTTATGGGAAATTGGTCCCTATTTAGCCGTTATTAACGTGAAGAAAACTCGGAAAATAACACGTGGCCAGCCAGTTGCGAAGGCGCGAACCCACGATCGACTATCAATGTTCTATGATTTTATCTACTCGGTCACTGGTAGGCTTGCACTGGTGTACACGAATCTTGGTTTTGAAGAAATTGCATTAGATAAATAAAACTACAATAACTTATCTACTGATACTTATAAAAGTGTTGCTTTAGTAGCAAATATTTGCAGTACTTACAGCAATATCAGACGAATACTTTCCATAGATAAAACTTATACGCTTAGAAGATTGATCGAAATTATCCATTATGGATTATTTATTTAATTATGATATCGTCACTTAAAACAACACGTAGAACACGTTTATTGATTATCATTGTCGCTTTTAATTTTGTTTAATTGTTTTCTAAGTAAAAATAAAATTATTTAATTTGACTTGCACAAATACAAAAATATATTAAGTTCATTTGTAACAATTTATTTTTAAATAAATAAATAAAACAAGTAATTATTTTACTCCGTACCTTCGTCATTAAGGTATTTGTGATCATTTTTATTTGTTAAAAGCCGTTTCCATGAAATTGTTGTTTTTATTTTCATGCGGGTCGAAGCTAATGAGCTGGATAAAAGTGAAAAGTACTTTGATTTACATTTTAACCACGCATCCAATTACCAACGAGTAAACGTCATTAGTTGGTTTGACGTCATTATCTACAAAATTTAATTAAATTTAATAATAAAAAAATTATTCCATATTTAGATTATTCACTGTCAAAATTTCTTTTGCTAGCGATTCTCTTTATTACTCTAAAGGCACGTTTTCCTCGTCTCTTCGAGTGTCGTTAAAGTTGGTAACCGTGCCATAATGATTTTTCTCGTGAAAATATGTAACGATAAGAATTTCTATTTTACATATTAATTGTTATTATTATAACTTCCAAAACTCCTTTCGTAAAAAATATTAAAGCGATAATTATAAAATAAGTTTAATACTGATAATAGATAATACTCAATTTATTTATTTCAATTGGCAGATACTTGTAACGTCACTGATAAATGTAGTTGGTCGTGGGTTCGCACCTGGCCAACGATCTCGCTGCGTGGAATTTTCTGGGTTTTCTTCAAATATTTACTTTTCAATTCTTTTAGATTTCAATATGAAAGCAATGCCTCTTAGTGAATATTGCAATACAAAATTATTAAAAACTTTCAATATTTTTAATGTCAAAAAGCTTAATTTTTGAGCTAGGGATGAGTATAAAACTAATTGTAAATGCTAATAACAAGTAATATCGTCAGTAGTACGACTCTACTCGAGATATGAAATACGAACCCCTATATCAAACCACTTCCTCGATCTTTAACCACCAAAATTTAATAACATCAATCCTCCTAACAAACAAACCTCCGTGCAAAATTTTAGAAATTTTCGACAAAAGACACAGGAGTTATTAAGCTTCAAAGAGAGTGAACAGAATCGCTCTTCCCCACACAAACATCCATACTAAAAATTTCCGAAATTTTTGCATTTTTTAACATTTCCATTGTTAACACTTTCATTCTTAACACTTCCATTGTTAGTTAACACTTCCATTGTTGATGGAAGTGTTAAGCTTTAATCCTGTCCCTCACCCGTGGGGAGGAATTTACATAAATATCACAATTATTAATTTTAAATAATTATTTATAGTTAAAAAATAGAAGTAAATTGTTGAAGAAAATAGTAGAAACTACTCATAAAATTACAGTACCATTAAAAACTCATAGATATGTAAACAAAAAACGACAAGAAATAAAAAAAAAACAATTGTCACTTTGAAATGTATTATTTAATGACTATCTACATTACACTAAACATCACGTAATAAATAATATGATATTTGTTTGTGGTAAAATTCGACACAAAGTTCATAAATCATGCAAAAGATTGTAGGATTAATGGGATATCACAATGAAATACACGATAATCTACCAAGAGGAGATTCCGAGAAGAATTTTGTGAAAAACTATCCTCTAATTAGGCATTAGACACGCAAAAAAACTACTTGACCGACCCGTTTATGAGGTGCGAACCCGTGACCAACTACAGTTTTAGTATGTAGTGATTTTATCCACTCAGCCACTGGTTGGCATTAGAGAAAGAAACGGGTTTTTAACTCCTTAGAAAATAGGAAAGTTGTCGAGAAATTCTTGTTTCCTACAAAAGATATCCTCTTACCTATAAAAAAAATAAATCGATTTTTTATAACTACAAAAATTCGTGTTAAAATGTCTTCTTTCATTCAAGTAATCGATATTTTTTTAATCTTACTTGACACATTTTTCTTGTAAAAAATAAATTTATCTATTGAAACCGTATTTTTAAAGCCATCTTTCAATATTGATAAATTTTATTTTCAGTTCTAATTGTATCATTAAAATTACTTCAAAAATCAATTAATTGTCTTACTAAAATCACGATTTTCTATTTCGATTATCTTCAGTTATATTTGTAAAAATGAATCATAAATACGTTGTAAAAAAACTCTAATAGTAGAGGATTAGGGGGCCAGTCCGTCACATGCCTGCTGTATCTAGTTTAGTATAATCAGTGAATGAGATACCATTGTTGTTTACATTATCATTGAGCGTTGTAAAGTAATTTCACATTTTTCCCGATTTTAGGGACTCTCCCTTCTAAATTTTTAGCAACACAGATTAAAAATAATCAAGAAAAACAAATTAGAATAAAAAATTATTAGTTAACATTAATCTCATAACATTCGAAGGAAAAGATGAAGAAGATGACCGTCATTTCGCCCATTTCAACTAGTGTTTAGTGACAATAGTTACCTTATCCACATCACGTGAATACATGTAATTCATCCTAGACAAGAGAGAAGGAGGTCTAAAAATAATCAATCAAGCTTATCTCTCATTACTTCAACTTCTACAATAAAATGATGATTGGTGAGAAAAAAGGATAAAACAGAAGGGAACGACGGAAAAAGAAAAGAGAGAGAGAGAGAGAGAAGAAGAAAGTGAACACGTCATCAAGGAAGAGAGTCAAACCAGAGAAGAGAATCAAATCCGGAGGAGAAGAGTCAGCACAAAAAGAGAGAAAATGAATCGAAGGGAAGACAGAAGGATCTTTGAAAACAGCAAATTTTTCCTGGTATATTGTGAGTCGTAAATTTCGGATTACTCCCGATAGATACCTTCTAGGTCAGGAATGGCGAACCTTTTTGAGTCCGCATATCATATAATGAGCATAAAAATCTTTAAAAATATTTATGCGTGCCGAAGTTTTGGACTTCGAATAACTATATTTGAAGAAATAAATTGAAAATATTTTAATTGGAATAAATGTAAAGAAGCTGATTGAAACAAAAAAACGATCAGATGATAAACCGAAAGAATTATTGAAAAAGTTTGGTGATAAACCTTCCAAACCTTCCTGATCCTACCTTCCAAAGTAAGCTCTTTGTCTTTTCTCAATAATTAATAAACTAAAAGTTATTTTAATAAGCTGTCATATCAAATGGCACCTCACACAATTTTAACTTTTAACTAGTATCATTATGTTGTTTAAACGTAAATATCCTTTAAAATAGAGAAATTTCTCATTACTCAGCAAATTTACTTCTTTCCAGCTTTTATTATTATTATTTCAATTTTATATTGTAATACAATGGAAAATTATCGAATATTAATTAAAATTATCCTGCCTTATAAATTAAAAGTTGTATAACTCTTTTAAGATCTGTTACAGTTAGTTAAATATAAAATAATCCGTAATTTTCATCAAAATACGTCTTCTATTCTCTCTCACAATTAAAAGTCATTTAATTTCGAGTTCAATACAAACATAAAGCATTATTTGTAAAGGAATCATTAATCATCAAAAGTCAAAATGTTCGTCTACGATATCAATTAATTAAAATTAATTCAACAGAATATAAATCGTGTTATAACAATATTCTAAACTTATAAAGCGTTTACTCAGCATTTATGAACAATTCAGGCAAATGCCCTTTTATTTTCCTAGCTGTTATAACATAACACTGGAAAGTATTATAATCGTGTCAAATTTGACCCTCCGAAGTTTTGCAAATCTCGGTGATTTGAGACTCCCTGGAGCCAAAAAAAGACAAAAATGAAGGAAAGCGTGCTCAGAATGGGGTAAAGATTAATTAATAAACGTACTTGTTTATGGTAACTTATATAGACCTATATAACAGAAAATGCCACACAATTTTAACTTTCAGCTGGTATCATAGTCTTTTTTTCAATGTAAATATTTTTTTTAGTAAATAGAGACCAGTTTCTTATAGAAAGTCCTTAGCATTTATATACTGCGTCATTGTATCTCATGAAATCAAATCAATCCGAAGAAAAGATTTCCAAGTGAATAATTAATAATGCGAAGAACGAGCTTAAAGGATTACTTGTAATTTCAAATAATGATTAATTTGTAAGCCGAAGAATAGAGATTGATCTCTTTGAAATCTACACGTTAATTTCTCTGGTCTTTGTCATTTTATCTACAATTAATTCGAGATAATTGAGGAGTTCTGGTTTGATTTAATGTCGTTACCTCTAATAAATGAAATTAATTTTTATCTGGATAATATCATTTGCAGTAAGTCGTACGATGCTCTTGATATTTAGCATAAAAATCACAAGTTAATGTATTCGTTACACGCATACTTATAAGAGATCAAATTTATCTTACATTTATAATATTAAGGGTTGAACAAGTCTTCTTCCGAATTACAATTAAACCTCGTTATAACGTTCTTAAAATTAAAGCCATTCTTTTAAGGCATGAAAAAATTAAATAGAAAGTTTTTCTCCATAGAGAGAAGGAGAGAATCTATTATTTACTCTGTCTTATTATCATGTACGATTCGTATTGTATGTACGATTCGTATTGTTTTAGAACCTCCCTCCAGTTTCAGACGTTGAATTAAAGTTTGATTGTGTTTTTAAACTAATTTTTAAGCCAAAATTTATTTAATTCAAGTAGAGAATTGCTTTATAATTAATTTATTTTCTTCTCATTTCAACTCGTTTCAATGTGTCGAGTATAATTATCTCATTCATAAACTTATTGAATTATTGTTTAGAAGTTATTGATTATTTACTAAAAACCTAATTACGATGATGTTTAATTGTTTAACTACCTTTCATCGAAGTTTATTCAGTGTTAATTCATATCTATTAATTCCAATTATTGTAAATGAACAATAACTGAATTAAAGTTATATTAAAACAATAATTATATACACATTTAAAAAATTTACAACCAATTCGGGAAATTAATTAGAATGAACCCGAATAATGAAATTAATTCAAGTTACAAGAGAATAAAGGTTTCGTTAATTAATTCAAAAAATATTCATTTAAAACTTGTTTACTAGAAATATTCATAAGAATAATCAATAAAAAAAATTAAAATTTAATAATAAATTAATATTCATTTATAAATATCTGTGTAATTTCACAACTGGTAAATCGCGATCTTTCGAACGATCAAATGCTTATTTCTTATGTAAATTAGGATGTAAGCAGTTCTTAGAAAGGTTGAAAAGTGCTCAATTTAAAATATTTCGAGTAGCATTCAGTGGTGATAATCGTTGTCAAATGCATTCTTCTTGCTTTGTATTCTTGTAGGAGCATCAACCGATCGTTAATTCTTTTTTTTCTTTTATTTCCGCTCTTCTCTTTGAAATTCTAACATCATTTTACGCTCGAATCGACTAATCTCATTAATTCAGTAATTCTGCAGAAGAAAGAATTAAATTTTTTCTTATTTCCTCCATTCTTTTACATAATTTTGCATGTTTCTTATATGTCTAAATAGGGACCACTTTTCTACAGAAAGTACTCTAGGAAAGTACCCCTCTTAACAGATCGTGTGTTTCCTTTTTCTAATCTCATCTCACATTGAGTTAATTTAAAATATTATTTTATATTTTTTAAAATAAATACTTTTTCATATACGATAAGTAATAACTAAAATTCGTAGAAAATTTGCAGTTTCCAAATAAAGGATGAAGAGAAAAAAGGAAAGTCCTCTGATAGTGTCAAACGTGTCACCATCAACAGACATTGTTATATATCTAGACATCGTAACATTAATACAACTTATTTATTACAGTAGCATTCTGATTTTTCGAGGTAATGCGGACCGATGCTACATCGAGTAACAAAAAACATTAATAAAACTGATGGATTTTATGAATTACAGTATACGAATAGTAGTGTGTTCA